AGCATGAGTAAACACTTTATATATATATATATATATATATATATATATATATATATATATATATATATATATATATAAAAGCCAAAAAGCAAATATTAGAAAGTGATACTACTTGTCCCTCCATTGCCAATTTATTTATGAATCATTCTTCCTTTTTGCTATTTCATTATTGCTTCATAAAACCCCTCTTTTTTATTTTATTTTAAAATTATAATTAGTGTTAAAAATAACAAGTTATATGTATTTAAAAATAATATTATATATATAGAGAGAGAGGGATGAGTTATTATGCAACCATTTATATTTGTACGACCAATACAACTCAATCTCAACCATCCATTTAATTTGATGAATATGTGATTTCATAAAAAAAATTGATTGTTTCATAATATAAAATATTTGTCATAATTAATGAGCTCTAGTCATCTTCCATAAATATTCAAATTATAATAAATGAACTCTCATCATTTCCATAAATATATCAATTAATTGAGTTGCATTGGTTGTACAAATGGATATGGTTGCATTTGGAATATACCATATATATATATATATATTTATAATGAAACGAAAAATAAATGTACACATTCTTCTTATCTGGTGAGTTTTGAACACTAAGGGGACGTTTGTTTTGTTGGAATCCATCGGAATCTGATGGAATTGGAATAGTCAATTTTGTTGACCAAATTTTATTCCAACGTTTGGCTACCCATGGAATGGTATCGAACATCATTTGAGGATTTCACCATTCCTTCTCAAAAGTGATGGAATTGAAATTATTTCATCCAAAATTGTGTAAATGTCAAAAATACCCCCATAACAACTGGTTTCATTCTCTCGACTGCTTCCTAAAAGGATGGGGCTCTACGTATGTACTCCTAAATCAAAGGTTCTTTGGTCACTTAATCACATTTTTTATATTTTGTGTTTAAGTTATATCTGTGTAAGTCCATGGTTAATTCACGAATCCACATTCATAAATCATTTTAAATTGGCTTCATCGATTTTCAGTAATTCGTTGTTAGGTTTCAACAGATGGGTCGTTTAACCAAGTAAAATGGCAGGAAATTTCGCAGAAAACACACAAGATTTTCACTAACCTATGCAGTTGATGTGTCATCGCTATTCGGTTTCAGCTTTTTATAATATTACAGAGTTTATTTTAAATAAATAAAAAAAACTGATCATCTATAGCGACGACATGTTGTCGAAATATGTTTTATTAATATCACAAGTTATTTTTATAAAACATAGAAATGACGTCGTTTGATACAAAAAAATCTCCACGTTATAGCGACAACATGTAGACGCAGTAAGATTTTCTTTTGAACGAAATCTAGCTCGATCAATAGCATCAGCAACTTCCCATTCAAATTACCAACGGGCCTATGGTCTGGTGGTATCGTAGTCTTTGGCTTTCTGCGAAGTCAAGGGTTCAAACTTCATCAAACATGAAGAGGGTGTTTGAGTTTATTTATTATATTTGGCAAGGAACCTCTAATTTGCCATTGCTTGTCGTTTGTGTTTCCTTCTGCAGTTTTTATTATGAGATTTCCATCCTGGAATTAATAAAAATACCACAAGGGTGGTGTCTCATTGGTTTGAGCTCGACTCCAAATGTCAAAAGTACAGGAGGTCCTACGTTCAAATCCAAAGAGGAATGAAAATCTTCTTGTGACCACGGAGATTCAAATGCGGTTACTCCGGACTATTTGCAAAGCATGTGGTCGTCCTGTGATTAGTCAGCTCGCATAGCGGGTTGGATATCCAGGTTAATAGAAAAAATTACACTATCCCCAGTTTTCTAGCTTAATCGTGTAAAGCCATATCATTCATTTATCGAGGAGTTAGAATAAAAAGATTAATCAAAAAAATTATATTAAATAAGATATTAACATGAATTCATATAATTAATTAAACATAAAGAAATTAAGGAATTAAAAAAAAACACATTTTTATTGTATTTATAGATATATGGGTCCAAGCCCAAGCCCAAGCCCAGAAAATATATTTTTAAAAAATGAGCATGTTATTGTTAAAATGATATATAATATAGATTAGGGTTGGGTTCATGTCTTCCTCTCGAAGGGCTTTGAGAAGAGGCCGTAGTTCATCCAAAGACAACAATTTCATGCGAGACCAGTCTGCTTTCGTGAGACTCATGAGATAATTTTTTTACACTTGAAACTTCACAACGAAACATTGTGAAGGTAAAAAAAATTCGAACATTTACAACAAAAACACTGTGAAAGTTACCTTTATAACATTTTGCTGAGAAATTTCAAGTGTAAAAAAGTGGTCTCACGTGATCCTAAGTTATATAGATGAAGACAGACATACCATAAATGAATTATAATTAATCTCTCTCGTAATTATATTTTGTAACTCATTCATATATAAAGCGCTTATGATTGATGAGAATTGTGGGTTGTTGGTTTCTATCTACTGTTGTTCTATTTCGTTTATTGTATAACAAAACAACCATTTTTACTGGTAGTGAAAGGGTCGTTAGAAACAGTAAACCAAAACTGTATAGGATAAGATCTGGCTTAACTGCATAACACAGTGTGATTTTAGTTCAAGTAATTGACAATTTAAAGTCAAGCCGAACCATTTTTAAAATTTAATCAAATCGTTAACATTATAATGATCAGTTGTTATTCATTTTAAAGTTAATTTATTAAAACATTTGGTTATTAATATAAGCATTCTATCTTATGAGATCAATGATCTATTTCTTAGCAATTTAATGATCTTAATGAGACTCATAACTTACTTGGTCAGCTATACATGATTGTTTGGTAGTGACTTTTAATGATACAGAAATGAGCTTATTCGATAAGTTTTCAAGGGAGAGAGCTTTATACGGAAAGTCAAGTTTCTAGTCAAATTTGCCCCTCTCAATTAAAAAACATGTTTCTTTTATTTATGAAAAAACTCTTCTAAACAAAAGCTTTTTGATCCATACAGATAAAAATAATCCATACAGACAACTTTATCCATACAAGACTTAATGAAAAACCAATCAATCATCCTTTAAGTTACAAGTAGAAGCTCAAAAGTAATTTGTGATGAAAATAGAATAGAGATAAGTGGTTAAATATTTGTATCAAAAGACCAAACTGCAACATTATTACAAAAACATTGGCAATTGTACAAGTATTTTAAAATAAAGGGGCTAAAATGTTATTTATTGATAGATAAGGGACCTTTTTATAAAGTTTATAGTTTTGCGGTGTGGTCCTCCGACTGTGTGACTTGACTCAAAAGAGTCGGGTGGTCGGAAGATGAAAAGCTGAGTGGAGGAGAAAGACAACGGCGGTCAACAGCGACGGCGACGGCGACTGTTAGTCAACTGCAATGGCGAAACGGCGAAGCCTGAAGACGACGACGATCATTACTCTTCTCCTATGTCTAGTTGCTTTCTCTACTGTTTTTGCGCCTCTTCCTTCGCCTCCCTATAATTCCCTCAAACAACGCAAACATCATCACCATCATTCTCATCGTCAAGTGAGTTACTAAAATTTAGTAAACTGCTTCTTGATTTTCATGTTTAGTTGGTGATAATTGTGATGTGCTACCTGCTGATTATGAATCAACAGGTTGTTAGTGCTCGGAAGTTTGAAATTGCTGATGATATGTTCTGGAAAGATGGAGAACCTTTTCGAATCATCGGCGGAGACTTGCATTATTTTCGTACTCTGCCTGAGGTACAGTCGCGTATTTTCCCCCTTGAAGTTCGCGTCGAATCACACACTCACGCTACTATCTGTGCAATAGATTTTTTGGCCGTTCGGATACTCTATAATCTATTGAATCGTAAATTCTGTCATCAAATGCTCACTTTGTTCCAAAATTAATATTAGTTTACATCCTGTTGTGTGAATACACAACTAGTATAGTTAATGGTCAGTTATAGTCATTTTTGGAAGCTCCTCTTCTGTATTTTGATGAATGCAGTAATGTATTTTGAAAATGTACTTATACATAAGTACTATGAGCTATTGTCCTCAATCTTCTATTATATCAGCAGAAAAGTAATTCGACTTCATATCATTTTTTGTGTACAGTATTGGGAAGACAGGCTATTAAGAGCAAAGGCTTTGGGCTTGAATGCAATTCAAACTTATGTTCCATGGAATCTGCATGAACCAAAAGAGGGTCAACTAGATTTTGATGGTATTGCGGATATAGTTTCATTTCTTGAGCTGTGTCAGAAGCTAGATTTGCTGGTCATGCTAAGGCCTGGGCCTTACATATGTGCAGGTTAAAACATTTACCAAATCTGAGTATTTTGATTCCTTTTATTAGTATATTGATTAGACCTTGCTTTACATCCAAACTGTGGGCATCAATCAGTTGATTTATATTGTTCTTGAAATTTTCTTCCACAAAATGGTGATAGTGCTATATTGGGATGTGGGTAAGAGATGCAAAAAGGAAAGAAACAGTGTTGAAACTACCCAAGAAAGAAGAAAAAGTTAGTTCAGCTCATGATGCATATTGCACAAATATTTAACCTAACTTGCTGGCAGTCATTTCTCTTATGGAAACCACCTTAACTTTGTGCATATGATGATCAAAGCTAGGAAAAGCTAGGTGTTCCTAAAAGTTGTTTACTAGCTACTCGCTTCTATCCATTTGATGTTCCTTGCTAAACAGTAAACACACATCACTGAGAATCTATTTTTGCTGCAGAATGGGATTTTGGTGGTTTTCCTGCTTGGTTACTTACTAAAGAACCAGCTATCAGACTGAGATCATCAGACCCAGCGTACCTTGCTTTGGTGAATCTTATTTCCTATTTGATAATTGTTTCCATTAGTATGTTATGCTCAGCACATGTGGGATTGTTGAAGGTTTAATGGAGCCTGCTTTAGCGATGGAGATCTAGTTTCAATAACCGAGTGAAGATTCCCGGGTTGTCTTTAGTCAAAAATTTATCTTCTTGTGACCGACTGCTGGTAGAAGGGAATGTTACTTAGGTTTAAATCATCATGGAGCGGAGTGTTCTTTTTATTTCTATTTTGCTCGACCATCTCATGAATTGGTTCATATGATGCTAATTATATGGAAAAATTTAGTTTTCTGTGTTCTTTTCTCTCCATCATTGATGGATTTATACCGTTCTGACTCCATCTTTATTTACTGCAGGTTGATAGCTGGTGGGGGATACTGCTTCCTAAAGTTGCTCATCTTCTTTACCACAAAGGAGGGCCTATAATTATGGTTCAGGTGGGTAGACCTATCACTGTATCTCATATTTCTTTGCTACTACTGAATCCTTTTACAAGCTCCCAGAATGTTGAGAGATATGTTGCATTGTGAGTTTGGCGTCCATCATCTTGTGGTAGTATCCACTCATTGATTCACAAAATAGATGATTTTGCATTCAGCACCATGTCATGAAAGCACTAGACTTTGCAAATCGATTTATGAGCTATCCAATATTTTAAGGGTGCTCTGACACTTCTACAATTCCTTGTTGGACAAAGGTTGATAGACATGCAAAATGTGTTTTAATTGTATTTGGTCTTTGTATTGCATAAACTATGTTAGGATGCCTTGATTCAAGTGATCAAGTCATCAATATGGGGATCAAAAGGGGTTCTGTCGCACGCTAAAGGGTTTTGTTGTTAATAGAGGAGTTCTTTAGCATGCCATAGGCCAGAGGGGTTCTCTGTGTTAATTAAATTGCAGAGAGCAAGGAAATAACA